TTTCCTTCTCTCCTCCTCTCCTCCTCCTCTCTCTCTCTCTCTCTCTCTCTCTCTCCCCTCTTTTTACCGAGCTCTCATCGGTCTGGTTTTTCACGATCACGTCCGCCGGGTATACAACACGGCGAACACGTCGCTCGTTAAGAGAAAAATATTTTTTGCAGGTTTGCTCATCGATTTTTATGATGGACAGAAAAACAGTAACACGCGATTAGTACACCCGCGACTTATCGGAAATGGCATGTAATGTCCGATTCTCGTCCCGAGGGAAGATAATACGGCCTATCAAATTTCGTTTTGCGCCGGAATTACCGAAAGTGCGTACACGACCTGCGTAATAGAGCCGCGCCATGTCGAGATCGCTTCTATGATCTAGCCGTTGCTGTTGTACCATGATATAATGATGCCATCAACTAGGCAGGAGGGGGGGGGAAGGGGGGGACGTGCAGCACACGCTGCCCGCTTAATCTCGCGGCTGCGCGAAAGCAGTTTATACTATTTAGAGGCGATACACATACGTACTTAATCACGGCACTCCTCCCCCTGCCTCCCTCCGTGTTTCCGTGTTTCATTCGACGGGAAATTAGCCGAAAAGGAAATTCCGACGCTTTACTGAAGAACCCGTACACGCGGTGATTAAAATTAAAGCCGGCTCTCTCTCGGTCCGCGCCGCGCAATCGGGAATATTACAGCGAGTTGACCGCTTCGGGTTTTCTGCACGGTTTACGCATAAATATGCGTGTACCACCGGGTACGTACGGAATATATAATGCGGGAAATCATATATCGTCTAATGCATGTACGTCCGCGCGGCTAAACGTATACTCCATTACGCGACGCGGGATTACAAAGTTTTAACTAGCGAAACTAGTTCAAAGCTCCGGCCCGAAACGCAGCTTTAATTTTCTAGCGCGTTAAAGAGGATTAGCCATGGGATCCCCTCCGATAGCGATCACGATAGTATTTCATAAATCCTTTTTAATTATCAACGTGCAGATGCGTCCGCCATGGTGGTGCGCCTCCCAATATTTTACTCGTTGTAATATTTTGCACGGTGTGCTTTTTAAAAAACAAGAAATAGATATTTGCAACGTGATATTTTTCGAGCGTATATATAACGTTATTATAAACTGGAAAATAATATCCGCGTTTTTTTACCATTTGAAAAATCGTGCGCGCAATATTTGGCATTATACTTTCATATTTTCATGGAGCAAATGTTGGTGCAACAAGATTATTGCGCGGTCAAAAATTCTTGGCGCTTCTGTAAACTGTGCGAGATAACAAGTTTAACGAGTGAAACACTTGAAAGCGGCACAACGGAGAGCAACATGGCGCGACTTTTATTCACTGCGACCGTATTCTTATGGGGAAAAGCGCAGTCACGAGAGAGAGAGAGAGAGAGAGAGAGAGAGAGAGA